ACTCATTAACGTAGTTCCTCAACTGTCAGTATTTCTCAGCATCTGAAGTTGAAAACTCTTATTTTTAGTTTATGCAGACAACAAAATATACACATACATAAAACAATTAATTCATATAATCCCACCAACAGTGTTTAGCAATGTATTAAAAGTCTTTATTTCAAATATGTGGACCTCTGTGGAGTTTATCTTTTAATATGACTTTTTCAGCCATTTATTCTCTATTTGACATTATTCTAGCTATAGACAAGAATAATATGAAAAGAACCGCAAGGGGATTGACCAGTCTCAACAGTCTACAAGAGAATTGGTCAGACTTGCCAATAAACTGAACAGTTCTATCCGCAGAGCTGGATCTTCTGGTGCTATTGAAGAGAAACCAAGACAATGGAGGACACTCTTCCTGCTCCAGCTACATCTAGGGCAGCAAAATGTATGGCTGAACAGAAGATTTGATATAAGATGACATCCTGAGTGCTAAGAGCCAATACTGGCAGAATTGATAACTTGGTAACACTGGCCTGAAGGCTTGAGGCTGAGGTGCCTGCGAGTGCATCTGGAAGCTGTTTTGACTGTATTTTCTATTAATCTGTATTAGTACCATTTGACCTTCCCAATATGGTTCTGCATGGTCTGTGAGCCATCACGTTTGATTTTGGACCCAGCAAATCTTTAAGATTGGTGCTGAGATGAATATAAAGAGGTACGGGAGCATTGGGGACATGTCTGGCCTCATGGTAATGGATTTGGTGTTACTGATGCTGTTGATAGGTACAGTTCCCCTTTGTTAAGTCAATAAAGGTCAGACATGACTGTCCCCATGTAGCCTTTTCTCTTTTTGCAACCTTCTTCCAAAAGACAGGAAGACATACAAACTATTTCCTGGTGAGATTTAAGATTTTTTTATAAAACAACAAATAAACAAAACCCTAAGTAAAAAAAAAGGACTACCTGAAGTTAGGCAAAGATGTGTTATACAGGAAATACAACCAATAAGGAAATACATTTACATCACCTCTCTGTCACATGGCCCTGCACCCATATACTCTTCCCTTTAAAATGAAGAATTATAATGCTGTCCCAGATGGCTTAAAATTTGAAATATGTGGTCTGGTGATTAAGATTTCTTTTTCTCAAACTTCAGGACTATGGCTATACAAATTACACTTTTAAAACATTTTAACCAGATACTGAATTTATTGGTTGACTATGAGTAGGAAAATACATCAGTAAAGAAAAGAGACCCTGTATATAAATATAATACTAGCTAGTTACAATTTGACCAAGAAAGTTCCACTGAAGAAAACAGTAAAAGCCCTTGTTACCACCAGTTCATATTGTACATATTCCCATTTTTCCATTACCCTTATCAAAGAGCTGCCGAGGCAAACGCAACCTTCTTTGAGCTTAGTGCAGATAACGTGCTGGGTTCTGATATATGAATGGTAAACAAGAGTTAGTCCAGTGCATTACACATTATAATGTACTGTGAATAAAGACTAGATACTCTAATTTAGACACTATTCCAACATATCAAGACATTTGAGTTATTATAATTCATGTAACCAAAAAGAAGAGCAATGAGAACACTTAAAATATTGTTTCTGTGTGGGTGAAAGACATGTGCTAAAGGCATTTTTCAAGTATCTGCAATATTTGTACTGGATATTTCCGTGGTTCCCCCCCCCCTTAAAAAAAAAAAACCAAACACCAAAAAAAACCAGCTGTAATTTTTTTGGTCTAGGTTGGATTTTGTCCTGTACAGTATGATATAATCCTAAAACCTGAAAAAAGTGATTATAAAAATTGGTTTCATGAATTAAAGGAATACTAAAGCTTCAATATATTACTGAAAAACCAAATCTTAGAAGAGCTTTAAAATTTCCATTTCAACATTCAAAAGTAATAATATCGTTAGGTTTCAAAGTGCTAATCCAAAATTCTTGGTTGTCATCAAGTAAAAATAGAAACCAAGCCCACAATTACTGGAGATGTTCTTGGCCTATCTTCTGGGACTATTAAAGTTGCAATTAACAACTTCTGTAATTTTAATCTAAATTATGCCATAAAGAAATTTTGATTATTTAAATGTTCAACACATAAACCATTATCACAAATACAGTAAACTGTATGTACTTCAAGAGACTTAAACAAGGAACTGATGTCTCTAAATTTGTAATTTAAAGTAGGAAACATCTTAAATTTTTCAAGAAAACATTCTTAAAATGAATTTATGGAGCAAGAACAAGAAAATTATAGCAATAATACCATATTAAATGCATTTTTTACAGAATTTTAAAAAATATTTTAACCTAGGAAAACATAGTTTTTATTGCATTTTAGGGAATATGGATCACTAGGATTCAGGACACAGAAAATACTTAAAACACAAAATCCTGCTTAACAAAAGTCTTGAAGTCTATTTGGCGTGATCATTTCTTATTTCCTAGAGATCCAAAATATTTCTTGACCATTACAGTTGTAAATCTATACTCTTGGTTCCACTTATCACTAAGTAAGGTAGAGAAGCTGCTCAAACTGATTCAAGAATGCAGTATTCCTGAAATAGAGGCAAGAATATGTTCAAGACATAACAGGACATTATATCTTACTCTGCTGCCCCAAAATTATTTTACACAGTAACAAATACAAGATGAAAACATTTTGTGTAAAGCTCAAACCTTTATCATCTAACAAGTGCATTCTAGTTCCAGCATCTATGAAAAGATTAACATCCTCCATTAACAAATACAAAATCAGTAAGTGCTGTCCCTCAACTCCTTCCATAAAGCTTTCTGGACCTGTTAATACAGAATGTATAGATGATAAGAAAAGCTGTTTCCTCTGTCTGATCAATCCAATCACTGCTAGCTCACTCTTACTGGAAATTGTCATGATGCACATTACCAACACAGTGTTTAGTAGGAAGAACGAGTAAACACACGTTTTATTCACACTAAAAAAAAAAAATTAAAAAAAAAAAAAACCCAAAAAACAAACACCCCATAAAAAAGCTATGCATTGGCTCTACATCAATAATACTAGCTTTCCAATATACTGATTATAAACTGGACATGTTTGGTGTCAGCACAACTCAACAAAACCCAAAACATAAAAAATCATCACAATAAAATCTTTTAAAAAAACCCAAAAAACAAAAAACACCTCAAAGGAAAAAACCAGGCCCCAGACAAAGATTCAAGATCAAAAATCTTTCTGGAAAATTAAAACAAATGTAATTTTATTTTCTCTTTTAAAAAACAGAATAATAGGCACATTTAAGTGCTGAACATTTTTTAATAAATTTTAAGTCATCATCCAAAATGACTCATTCTCTGTATATAAAAATTGTTAATAACATTCAACTATTTTTTTTCTTAATGCTCACATGGTATCTTTTGCTCCCCTGCCTGCAGTTGAAACAAAAGCAGTTAGATCAAGCTCCCTCTGAATTGAATTAATATGATTTTTTGAGAGAAGACTAAACGAATGAGAAGAGAACATGAATGAGATAACTTTGAAAAGTTAAAGCTGGTTTAAACCTCTGATCTACTAATGGCACTATGGGTACACTATAACTTTTATCTTGATGGATATACTAAAATGACTTAGTCACTTTAAAAAATTATCAGAATTACCATAGGGTCCAATTTTGAAAACGCATATAATTTATATGATTTCAAAAATGGAAAATGTATTTTTCCTTTTTTAAAAAGAGATTTAAAAACATGGAAACAAAATAACACATGGAAAACAAAAAAAAATTTCACATGATAGTATTTTTGGGTGAGAAGCAACACTGTATAGTGATACCAAGAACAGTGCTCAAATCTGGAGAGCAAAGACCAGGGACTCACCCACTGAACATGTTCCAAAATGTGATTTCCAATGCTTCACAATGGAAAACAAATAAACAAAACCAACAATAGTTCATACAAAAGCATTTCCATAAAATTCTCACAAATGTAAAACAGTTTAAAAAATATATAAAAGAGGATGCACAGATTTTCTCTGCATGCACAGGCAGTGCTTGGTGAGAACAAATTTAGGCAGGCACAGTGGAAAAAAGGACAAGATGTACCTCACAGAGAGGTAAGAAGCTGTACCATAGCAGCCACAATTTATCTTAAAAAAGTTTTAAAAACATTAGAATGTACACATATTAACCATTACATTCAGTCCATAAATGCCTATAGATCGTTTCACTATTCAGCTTATCTGTCTTGGTAGAGAATTGTCATAAAAACTCAGGAATTCATGGTAAGTTGTCGCTGGTCCCAGAAAATATTCTAAAGTTTAAGCAAACATAGATTTAAAAAGCAATGTTTGAAATTGAAAAATAAAGTAGTACAAAAGGGCTAACAAAACCCTGACAGTGCAAATCATTAGCAGAGAAAGTCTGTTGCAACATCTTTTACAAGCTGTCTTTTATAACATATGAAACAGGTAAAAAGAATTTGCCTTAGTTTATAATACAATCATTTCCAAATCTGATTTTGTTTTTTAAAGTACAAAATTTCACAAATCAGGGCTCCTGTAGATCCACATACACAATCCTGAAGGTTAAATTCAAATTCTGAATTTTACGAACAAGTCTGAAGAAGGAGGGAGTAAAGTACAGAAGAATGATCTCTGGGTGTTACTACTGGCCTCAGAAAAGTAGTGCTACAGAGTTCTGTGCAAAAAAGAGTAATGCTGTTAAAACATTTTCCTATTTCAAGGCATGAAAATATTATACTGGATATAAGAAACAGGAAAATCACTTGTAACAAATTAAAGATAGGTGCAAAAACACCAATCCCTGTCTAACAGTATATAAAGCATGTTGGGCTCAGAATTTGTTGCTAGCACCTGGCAATCATACTATATCCTAAACAATTAATGAGACAAAATTCAAATCATCATTAAAGATAAAATCCCTAGGGCCATACCTTACTCCCCTATACTCAGATTTTTTAAGCTGACAAATGAAACTGAGGTTGTCCTTTGAAGATCCTTGACTACCTTCTGCTAGGAAGGTGAATGCCGTTGACTTGGGGTAGGAAAGGCAGTAAGAGCTCCAGTTGTGCAAAAAGTGAGAAGTGGTCTGAGGGGATAAGTGGGTGTGGACAGCCGCTGATATTGTTCTCAAGTAGCCAATGGTGGTCCAGAGGTCCTAGGATGCCTAAAGTGTTCAACTGAGGTTTAGAATAGAAGATATAGTCGATTATACCCTGAAAAATAGAAAATAAATAAATAAATAAATAAATAAATAGAATGCTAAGCATGCACATAAGCATTCCCTGAAATCCTGAGAGTTTTCAAGATATGTATGTATGGTCATGTTTAGGAAACAAAACAAACTTTCTAGTTTGTGAGAGGAGATAATTATATATAAACTAAATGCCCCTTGCCCAAAATGTCAAAGAAAAGTTTAGGGATGATACTCATTCACCCATCCTCATCCTTGCTGAATTCTCATGAGATCACGAGAACATTAATGAATTCTGCTTCTTTTTCCTAATTTAATGTGTGCAGCTCCCCCTACTCACTATCCTATTGTCATTCCAGTCCCAACTGTCAATCTCCTTTTAGGGAAAAAGTGCCAGGTTCTTTTTTGTTCTAGAGCCTCCCCTATGCTGTCTTCTTTGCCTGGAATACCTTCCTCAACTTGTCATCTGGCTATTTCTATTCAACCTTCAAGTTTCAAGCTCATTCCTTTTCCAAAGACATTCCTGAATTCTGCTCCCACCACCTTAAACCTTCTTCAGAGGAAGGATTCTCTTTGAGAATGTCTATCCTGATTCCAATCCCACTGCTATCTACTAGTTTCTGACTTACACTCCAAGGTGCAATTATATATCTTGTGCATTTGACAGCTGTCTCAGTGGCACAAAGGCATACATGTGACACACAGTTAAGTAACTGTAATTTCTTTTGAAGGCATGCTTAATCTCTACATTTTCTTAATGCATGTATTTAAGCATATTCATCTATCTTTCCCCCCATCTTTACACCAGCAACAGGTACATGAAAACCAAAACAAAAACTGTTATCACCCTCACCATCATGCTCCCCTTTCCTATCTTTTGCTTAGAAATCTAAAAGTTGCTTTTTATGACTGGATTTCTTTACATTCACCACATTCTAATCTCTCTGCCTAGTGACCAGAAAGACATATTTAGAAGCTTCAGTTCATTTAAGCTTCTACACATCCTGGTTTTCCTCTTCCATCACTGGTTATTCCTCTTTCAACACAAATAAAGAGTTTTCTCTGTAGTGTAGTCCAATCTCTCTTGAGGGCTGCATACTCATTTATTTCCCACAAGCTCCATGACTATCTAAAGGGCCTTTCCAGAAACTGTGTGCACTGTCTGTTGGAAAGAAGTATTAATCTTACCAACTCGTCACTTAGCTAATTTTTTTCCAAGTTGTCTCCAAATTGAGGCATCATTTCTTATAACAAACATTTTTTATTAGTGATGGCTAGAAATAACAAATTCTTCTGATACTCCTGTCACTTTAATTATAATAGCCTATATACTGGCAACTAGCCACTCTTCAGCCTAGAGTGTGAACTTCTTTAATATTATCCCTGAGCCCATCATTATATATGCTAATCTCAATCCAAGGATATAGAACTCTGTGCTGCTAACCCAAAGGAAGTGTCTTTCTAGTGATCTGAATCTTTGAATTCACCAGCAGCTCCAAAGGAAAAAGAAAGGTAATTTCCGCCTGGGCAATTCATAGCCTCAGAAACCCAATGGTGGGTCAGCTATGAATCGGTTCTAAGTTGGCAGCAATAAGTTTGAGTTTTTTGGTTTAAATCCAACAATGGACAAAGGGGATTGTGTGTGTGTGTGTGTGTGTGTGTGTGTGTGTATATAAATATATAAACGTTGGAAGCAGGAGGGGCATCCACTTCCTAAACAACATGCCTCCATGAACTTTGATAAATGATGATAGTTATAGAAAGGCTTCAGGCATTAGGGTTGCTATGAGTTGTGCTCAACTCAACGGCAATCAATAACAACAACAACATATATAAACTAAGGGTATCAATAAATGAAAGAAAACATATTAGCTCTTGTATGTGAAGATGAGATACATAAAAAAGGTAAACTAAAAATTCACCTTCAAATCTGAAATCTAATTTTTTCAAATACTACTTTTTTTTTTTTTTTTTAATTTTTGTGTGCGTGTACCGTCAAATCAGATCTGACTGGTACAGGAGGAGACTGTCCCTCCTTCCCCGGCAGAGCATCTGGTGGATTCGAACCGTGCGCCTCTGGGATTGTAGTTGCAGCTCCTTGCCACTAGGCCACCAGAGATTCCCCCAAATACTACTTCTAATCAATAGTTTTAACAGCTAGCAAAACACAGGTTTCAGGGAAAAATTAAAGTAGGTAAGAGAAGGAAGCAATCAGATACTGTAACTTATACTACTAGATTTTACTTTTTAATAATCAAAGGTGAAAATCATTAGGTCCAGTGAAGATCACTATTTTCTTATGTCATACATAAAAGCTATTAAATTTTTCCTGGTAATAATTTATAAGTTGAAGCCTTCATTTAAAGTTCCATTTGCAATGGCATCACCTGCTTTACTATTAGTATGACCTAATATTTTACTTTTCTGGAAATTGCTAACTCAGAAGCTCCAACCTCAACTACTGATGTCAGAGTAAAAATGATCAGCAGAAGGGGCACTTGAGGAATAAGCAGAGATCTGAATCCTTAAGCTTGAGGTCATGAGCCTCTAATACTCTCTAAAATCTTAATTACATTCTAATACACAACCTAGGGACCTACAGTCTACACAGCTGTGCTGCTAAATCAAAGGCTATGCATCTCTAGCAGTTCAAATCCACCAGCAGTTCATCAGGAGAAAGATAGGTAATCTCCTTCCTGGCAAGTGATAGCTTTAGAAACCCAAAAGATGGTCTGCCATGACTCAGTTCCAACTTAATGAGTTTTTTAAGGAGGGTATATATGATTATTTTACAAGATGGCTAGAAACAACATCTTAGGACTTAAAAGAATAGCTGTACAAAAGTGGCTTAAAAGGAGAACTGAACACCAGAAAAGTGACAAAACTGAGAATAACCACTATATTAAAAACTGTCAAAGTCACTATGAAAAAGTTTGCATTATCCTGAACAGTTTACCACTATAAAAAGGCACACAAATATACACATTTAAAAATCGCTAATAAAAAGCTCATTTTTTAACACACAAAAGAACATGACAGATGGTATACCTTTTATCTCAAACGACACAAAGTATTACAGTAGTACTCTTACAAACACAGGCTTTGACTCAAGCAAGACCCACACCTCACTCCATACACAAAAACCAACTCAAGGTGGATCATGGACCTAGGACTAAAACCAAGGACTATGAACTTCATTACAGAAAAGCTAGGAACAACACTAGAAGTCCTAATCCACAACATAAACAGTCTTCCCAGTATCCTGGAAAACCTACAACCAGGAGAAGATAACATAGATGAATGGGATCTTCTAAGACTCAAATCCCTATGCACATCCAAAAACTTCTCCAGTAGGGTAAAAAGGGAAGCCACTGACTGGGAAAAAGTATTCGGTAATAACATATCAGATAAGGGACTTATATCCAGAATTTATGAAATACTTGAGCACCACAACAAGATAAAGGTAAATAATCCAATAGAAAAATGGGCACAGGATATGAACAGGCACTTCACCGAAGACGACATTCAGATGGCTAACAAGCACATGAAGAAATGCTCAAAATCCCTAGCCCCAAGAGAGATGCAAATTAAAACAACTATGAGATATCATCTCACCCCAGTCAAAATAGCAAAATTTAACAGAACATCAAGCAACAAATGCTGGCGAGGTTGTGGAGAAACTGGAACCCTGATTCACTGTTGGTGGGAGTGTAAAATGGTGCAACCCCTGTGGAAAGCAGTATGGCGCTTTCTCAAAAACTTGCAAATAGAGATACCATTTGACCCAGCAATTCCACTACTGGGAATATACCCTGAAGAGACCATAGCTGACATCCAAGCAGATATATGCACACCCATGTTTATTGCAGCTTTGTTCACAATAGCAAGGAGTTGGAAACAACCTAAGTGCCCATCAACAAACGAATGGCTAGAGAAGCTGTGGTATATTCGCACAATGGAATACTATGCTGCATTAAAAAACAAGGAACTCATGCAATATTATTCAAAATGGTTGACTCTGGAGAACATTATGCTGAGTGAAATATCCCAGTCACAAAAGGACAAATATTACATGATGCCACTGTTGTAGAATGGGACTGTCCTTGGGGTTGGGGAGAGACTGAGTAAGATGGGTTCAATAATGTATACTGCACTGAAACAGAGGAGGGAGAAAACTGTTTGAAGGAGATATATGACTAGGTATTTCTGTCATCACAGGAGTCTAGAGCGAGGGCTACATGGTGGAGGGGACCTGGGGGAGGGTTTGTAAAACAATGAAAGAATCCTTTCTTTTACTTTTCCATAATTTTTGACTCATGTACTTATAACTTGTTAGTCAAATTTGTGTCTTCTAGGTTGCAACACCCCCATGATACATCTTCAAGGATATGAACATGTACGGCCAAGCACAATCAATAAGAGTGCATCTAAATTCCAAAATCAATCTCCATAATAGTCTATGTGTTTCCTACTGCCAAAGGGGCCCTTTAGAGTAGTGAGAGAAGATCTTCACCCTGAAACCCACAGCGTCCCTTTTCAGCAGGAAGTAGCTAAGAGAATACGCCATCCCCTTTTCCTTATGAATCAGGGTGAAGTCTCTCTCAGGGAGGAGTGATAGGGAATGGCAAAGGACACACCGACAAAGGAGATTAATCAGAACTGACTTTGACAAGCACTGTGGCAACTGGACAATTAAAACAGACATTCGGATGGCGGGGAAGAACAAACTGGGAAGGAGGATAGAGAGAACGGTGCAGCAATGAAGGAATGAAAACCCAAAATCCCTGGAAATGTTCATTAAAACTAATAAAATTTAATAATAAAAAAAAAAGAAAAGAAACACAGACTTTACCTGTGTCCACTTAATAATTTGCAGTGAACAAGTCTACATTTTTTTTTCACCACATCAAAGATTCTGTTCCCATGTTTGGTTGGCATCTCTCTCTCCCAAACCCAGAGCACCTTCCCACAGAATTAAAAGATTCTTTTCAAAGGGAGCTCTGGTGGCCTAGTGGCAAAAAGCTGCATGGCAATCCTGGAGGTACGCGGTTCGAATCCACCTGGTGCTCTGCTGGAGAAAGAGGGGCAATCTCCTCGTGTACCAGTCAGATCAGATTTGATGGTACACACAATAAATAATTAAAAAAAAAAAAAAAAAAAGATTTTTTTCAAGTTTATAATCCCTAACTGGGATCAAATAAGTAAGGTAAACATGAGTTTACTTACTCATCTGTAATGAACAATTTCAACACATTCTAGAAAAATATGCAAAAAACAGGTAATCTACTACCCTTGACAGTATTGCATACTCAGATTTAACATTTGAGCATATAAATATAAAACATATTTTGCTAAAAAAAAAAAACCAAACACCAAAAAACCAAAAACACCCCAAACCACCAAACAACTGAAAGCTACCTCAGGAACTGATTTACTACCATATTTCATTTGGTTTCTTAACTTGGAAAGACACGTGGAATTACACCACAAGGCATAATAAAAGAATTATTGTCAATTCAAGATTGTACAATTCCAATGTGAATATATATCCGTATTTCAAAGGTACAAAGTTTAAAAACTTCCTAGAAAACCAGAAGATTTTAAAAAATTTTAATTTCAAAACTCACCTTGAAATCAAATGTGTAATTCGTGTAAGGCATCAGGCCATTTTCATAGGCACTCTTTAACTTGAAACCATGAGTGATCCTTCCATTGGTTGTTCCATTTTTCCCATTACAGCTGAAGTTTGTAAGACTTTCATTATATCTCAGTTCTTTAAAGTCTTTATGGTTTGTTTCTACTCCGCCAGTGCTCAAATATTCTACAACACCTATAATACAATTACCATTGTCCCATCATGAGTATAATAAAGTGCACAAAAGTAATTTTTTAAGTCATGTAATAATATTAAACAACTTCATTTTTTGAAACGCTTTGTTGTTTTTACAATCATCATTACTTACCTAAAACCATTTTCCCATAGTTTCAATCACAATGTACAGAACTTTGCTCTTTTCATTTAATACTGCATTACATGTTTTCCCAATTATCTTTTTTTATTGGTTAAACATTTCAAAAAAGGCTGGTGTATAACACTGCTAAACCCATTCTCTCATCTTTTTAAATTCTGGCCACAGAAATGTAAAAGAGGATACTATAATCAGTAACTGAGAACATGGCATTCTGCTTATGCTATTTACTTGGCATAAAATCCAAGATTAAAGTCTATTATGTCATTTTATGCAACAGAAGGACGGGAAATCTTCTCCTGTGCGACTACATGCCTCTGAAAACCTGCTGCAGGGTCAGTTATGGGTAGGTTCTTACTTGGTTGGTACACAACATTCATTTTCTAATACTGCGAAATATGGAAGAAACTGTCATCTGTCACTGACAGAATAAAGTCACTATCCCTGGGCACTAATTGTAGCATAAATGAGACACTACAAATAAATCCCAACTTTTATACAATGAATAAGCAAGGCTGTTATTGTTTTTTTATTTGCTGTTTGCTACTTGTAACACTAAATTATTAAACATTAAAACGGGTCTTGTATGTATATTATATGACTAGATTCTCATCTTGTTCCTGCTATACTTTGTAGTTATACTGAGTAGCAAGTATTTAGACGTACTGCCAGAAAATAATCCTCAAATGTTTCAGTAATTACCAAATAATTTGATAAAATGGGTCCTCCTCTTTTTGTGTGCCATCAAATCAACTAAGATTCATAATGACCCTATAAACAAGAGCTTTGTTTCTTCCCCTATCTTGAGCCAAATTCACTGTGATCTCATCGCCATAATCACTGCGTCAATCCATCTCATGCAGGGTCTTCCTCTCCTGCGCTGATCCTCCACCCTTTCAAGCATGATAGCCTTCTCCAAGGACATACTCCTGGCAACATGGCCAAAGTATGTGAGATGGAGCTTCAAAATTCTTGCCTCCAAGGAACAAAATATTTTGTACTCTCTGCAGGACAGACCTGTTTGGTCTCTTGGCGATCTATGATATGTTCAATACTCTTCTCCAGCACCACAACTCAAAGACATGGTTTCTTCTTCTGTTACCCTTATTCACTGTCCAGCTCTCGGAAGCATAGCAAGTAATTAAGAAGACAATGGCTTGGATCAGGTACAGTTTAGTCTCTAGACGAGCACTCTGGAGAGGGCTTTGACAGCATTTTTCCAAATGTAATTTCTGATTTTCATGACTGCTAGTGCCAAGGGTGTTGATTGTGGATCTGTTAATAAAATCATTAAAAACCTTGGTATTTTCTCCATGCTGCTGCCTACTAGCCCAGTGGTGAGGATTATGATGCTGAGTACTGGCCTGGTGGTGAGGATCTTTGTTTTCTTGATGTTGAGATACAATCCATAGTGAATGCTGAAGTCCTTGACCTTCTGCAGCAAATGTTTCAAGTCCTCCTCAGTTTCAACAGGCATGGTTCGTGTCATTTACATAATGCAGTTAATGAATCTTCATTCAATCCTGAAGCCACATTCTTCTTTATAATTATCTTTCAGCCAAGATGCATGTTATACCAGCAATAATATCCCAAATGCCAAAGCTTGTATTTCTGGCAGCTTTTGTGTACTATTTTTGGATAACCTTCAGCAAGATTCTGCCTACATGTGACATCAGTTAAATTGTTCAGTTTCCATACTCTGTTGCATCGCTTTGGAGAATGAAAACAAATATGCATCTCTTTTAATCAGCTGGCCAGATGGCTGTCCTCCAGATTTCTAGGCACAACCTTATGAGGACATCCAGGGCTGCCTCTGTTGAAATATGTCAACTGGGATTCTATCAATTTTTACAGCTTTTTTTTTTCCATCAGCCTGAACTGTCTCCAGTACTACCATTCTTGATTATATGCTACTTGCTAAAATGGTTCTGCATCAGCCAATTCTTTCTGGTACAGCAACTCTGTGTATTTCTTTCATCTTCTTTTGATAATTCCTGATCATTCAAGATTTTGCCCACATCTTTGAGTATTATAACTTGAGGCTTGAATTTTTCTTTGGTTCTTTCAGCTTGAGAAATGCTGAGCGAGTTGACTTGAGCACATTTCATTATAACACTGCTTTGTCTTCAGGAACTGGTCTTTGAATCTTCTGTTAACTTTAACTTCCTGATTTATCATTGTTTTGGCTTATCTGTCTTCTACTGCCATATTCAAAGTCTCTTCTGATATCCACTTTGGTCTTTTCTTCCTCTTCTGTCTTTATAATGACCTTTTGCTTTGTTCATGGATGACATCCTTAATACCATCCCACAGCTTATCCAGTCTTCATTCTTCAGTTAACTCAAACCTGTTCTTGAAATGGTTTTTAAATTAAGGTGGAACAGACTCAAGGAATAAGATCCATAAGAAAGGCCTTTGATGCCTCACATTTTAACCCAATTTCTATTAATAGTATGTATTTGTTGTGACTGAAATGAAGTAATATGATAATGAATTTAACTACTCTAAAGTATGTATTTCTACCAGAGATGCCTGTACATAAATGATTTTTTGTATATGAGACAGGATAAAAAAAGTAGATGGAAAACAAAAGAGGAAGCTTTTAAAAAACTAAGTATCTTTGAATTTTTTATTGTTATTTTTGCTAAAATCACTTGTATGATCTGTACAGAGGATCTAAATTGCCACCTGAGGTATATTTTTCTAGTTAAGCCCACCAAAAGTAGTAAAATTTCAGATTCAATAGCAGATCATCAAATTTATATTGTGATTACACTGACATATTTTGTAATCTCAATATAACTGGTCTAATAACTTTTAGAGTTAGAGGCTGGATTTCACTGGATATGAAGATAACAAAAATACATGTTATGTCAAGTTACCACTTTGTGTTTATAAAAGATGATTAATATTGTCCTAACAAGCTAGAAAACATTTTTATTATATTTTAACTAATCATAATTTTAAAAAATTGATGTACTACTAATTTGTCTTAATTGAATGACAGAACAGAAAAAAAGATGATTAATATCTTTCTTCTACATTATGTTTTAATAATACTGTTTTATTTTTAAAATGCTTCCCCTACTCCATCACTCAATGATTAAAAACTTGATTCATAGCTTTCACTACAAATGAAAACTTTGTTCTAAAGAATATTTAGAATTGTCAGAACTCATTACAAAAATATTTTTATATTTCTGTATTAAAAAACATTTTCTTACCAGAGTCTGGCAAAGAATTAAGATCTGCACATAAGACAAGTGGAATAGATCCAGATTCTCCCACCACACTGGATTTGAAGCTTCGAGAGGCTTTATCAATAATGTTCTTTACTTCTGATAGGAACATCATAGTCTGTACTAGTTTCACATCAGAATATTCTGGGTCCCAGTGCATATGAGCATTTGCCACAAGAATAAGTTGTTTTTCTGTTCCAAGATGTGGTTTTCCAGCTATATTAGATAAAAAGAAAATAAAAACACAACATCCCACCCATCAGCCCATATAAATCCTTAAAAGTGTCTGAATGCACATGATCTCAGAGTTTTGAACATTTCAGGATAATACATTGATTATCTGTAAGATAATTACTTTTACCTGGTGAAGCTTTGATTTTTAAAAAGTTGTTTCCTTAAAACTTCTGGCCTTAATTCTATATCCTAAGCCAAGTCTCACAAAATGAAATGTTAAGTATATTTAAGTCAGTTATTAAATTTCATTTCTTACCTCATCTACCCTTCAGGTTAACTATTTCAGTTATAACTCTTTCTCAAATAACGAAAGATTTAACCTCTTAAGATACAGTCATTCTAGATCTACTTTTAATTTCAAACAAATGTCTTGAAACCTTAAAATTAAATAATTACTTTAAATAGGAAAAGACGTTTACAAGGTGTTACTATTGACAAGAGGTTATGGAAAGGTATGGCTGATTTCTGAGTAGTTATTTTAGCTATTATGTACTTCAACATTTCTTTGATGTGAAAAATTCTTGAGGGAAAACATACACACTTATATGCCCATTTTGCTTAATGCCTTTCAAAGTTTGAAATACCTTTTCAAGGCAATGCTTTCTTTCTCATCTTAAATAAACTTCATAGTAGAGAAGAAAAAGGATATAATACTTTAAGAAGATTTACTTTCCCACTGAGTTTCTTCAGGTGTTAAAAACAAGACCATTAATGCATAATGAATTTCCTGTTTTCTATTCTTTAGAATGTTAAATTCAGCACAATCAAATTTTGGAGGTCAATTTCACAGGAAGTGAAAAGATCACTCACATGACATTTCAATCAATTCCTTTCGAAGTTCTAGCAGTACTGCAACTCCAATGTTATCTTTTGTCATGACTCTGTTCAGCATAGCTTCAGACCCTTCTGAATTTGCCATTGCTAGCTGATTAAATTCAACTGTGTGTTTCTGAACCAAAGCAAATCTAAAACAAAAACAAAAACACACACACACAAACAGAGCATTGGGAATACCAATATATTAACTCTGGGAAATGTTGTTTTCCCAAACTTCCTTAATAGACATTGTGGAACTTAAATCACATTATGAAAAATGTTCTACAATTTAAATCAAGTCTCTCAAATTAACTACCCCCACCCCCCCTCCAGCACACTGACTAAAGATTTTTTAAAATTCCTCCTGGTTTTGCTACTATTTTCTGGTTTTGCTTATTTGGTTTTTATCACATAAACTTTTAAGTCATTCTCAGTCCATCACTGATAATACCTTATAATAGCATTTTGAAATACCTTTAAAACTTAAGATAATGTAGTCATCTTCCGTTTACATTTCATGTTGTAATATTCCATTGTGTAATTTTTAAACAACTCCTTTCCCAAGTTTAGGTTTAAGAATCCCTCTACCACCCAAGAGGCAAAGTTAGTTAAATGGTGTTTTGATTAACAATTGGAATTAAGTATCAATAAACACCTGAAGAAACAGCAGTACTTTAAACACATCTCTAAATCAAAAGTATTTCAGACCAAAAAAAGAACCCAAGACAATAGTGTCGCTCTGCTGGAAAATAATCTAGTGTCTCATTTTCTTATTTGTCAATAATTTCCATAATCTGCAAATATTTCAAACCCGCAAATATTGAGAAAATTTTCTTTTCCAAAAAGAAAATGACTTACTTTTCTGTTTTGAAGAATATTGCACAGCCATCCACATGTTTTCTCTCCTGTTCTGACATTGTCCTTGCTCTAGACTTAGGACTAAAGAATCCACTATAGCCACGTTCTTTCAGTTCAGCCAGAAAAAAACTGTAATACTGTTCTGTTTCAACCTCCTGAAAAATTATAAATGGCAAATTTACTGCATAAGACAAAAACCAGCTCTATGCTTTAACATTATATACAGTTTGAGCACTTGAAATTATTTCAAAGGAAAGATCAGCAGGAGAGTACTAATTTATCTAAAAGAAATCAGAACACATATCACCACTTGTCTGACACTTTGCCACACTCTGGTGGCTTGAGTGTGGCCATGATGCTAGTATTTTAACTACCAGCAGGGTCATCTAGAATGGACAAGTTTTGGCCAAGGTGCTCCTAAGAGTGAAAGATACTTTGGCAACATTATCAGAAGGGACCAATTCCTGAAAAAGGTTATTGCGCTAGGAAAGATGGAAGGAAGGTCAGAGGGAAAAAAACAAACCACCCTGAATGAGTTGTAATGACACAGTGACTGCAAGGATCACAAATGAGATAGTAAGCATAGTGTAGGACTGGGTAAGGTTTTGATTTATTGTACACGAGGACACTGTGAGTAAGAATTGACTCAAGAGCACCTAACAAGAACAGTCAGAAAACCCACATTATTTTGTAGGTACCAATAAACAAATCCTATGTTATATAGGAGTAATGGAATGGAAAGACACACAAACTCTTCTCTTTATAGTAATAAACTTATGTGGAAAAAGAATCTTAGAGATAAAGGACTTCACAAATCACTAGTCCAGGTCAACAAGTAAAAAGTACTTGGCTAAAGTAACAAGCTTAGTAACAATGGTAATAAATTAAAATTTTTGTCTTGGCAATGGAGAAACAATTTCAGTTAACACTGCCATTCAATTGAAAAAAGTGTAAGGGACACTGGAAGTAAAAGGTAAATGCCACAGAAAATACATTAAAACCAACTTAAATTCAATTGCTTAATTTTAAAGCACAGTGTGGAGGAGCTAAGTAGGTATAATCCTAGGATTTAATAAAATCGGAAAACCTCGTATTTTAAGACCTGCCAAACTTTAAATCTGTCAGTGTAATAATGCATTTCAAGTTCTTCTCTTGGATTTAATTAATATTGGGGAATTTGTGCAGTTTAAATCTAGTCTATATGACTTACCTGAAGGCTTATGATATCAGCGTTGCAGCTTAAAATTTCTTGAATAATGGCCTTTTTCCTATAGTCCCAATTTAGTGCCCATGATGGACAGTAGCCGTATAACTGTCGGGTCGCATATTTATCACAAAGAACATTATAGCACATGACAGAAAACAAGGCTGTAGGAAAGACAATTTTATTTATCCACAAATATGACAGAAGAACCATAACAAATTTCAGTTATGTTATGTACTATCAAAGCTGACCATCCAAGTAGGTTTCAGAGGCCGTTAACTGCACAAGAGGAGCCTGCCCATCTTTCAAGTGTGACATATTTTTTTAATATATACTCATTGATAAGCTACAACATACCGGAAATGGAAACATAAAAACAATTAACAAAAATATATGTGGAAAAAAATGTGCTATCTGTTAAAGATATATACACAGGAGGTCTGGAACTTGAAAGACTTAAGATCTTGCCCTCCAGTAATGTTAATGAAGAATGTGGAAACTTGACAAGTTAATTCTATTAAACCAACCAGTTGGTACTCAGCTGAGTCTGACTCATGGTGTTCTCATGTATATCATATCACAACAGAACTGTGTTCCAAAGGGTTTTCAACAGTTGATTTAAAGGCAACCGGAGGCTCTGGTGGCATAGTCCATAGCTGTGTTGCTAACTCAAAGGCAGTGCTTCTCTTAACATTTTGAACCCATCAGTGACTTCACAGAAAAAAGGCAGACAATACATCCTGTGCAATTTAAAGCCTCTGAATACCTACTATAGGATCAGTTCTCTGTTGGTTCACTCTTGAGAGCAATGAGTTAACTGTCCTGCACACAAAAAGAAATGGCTATCATAGATCAAATTCTGGGGCATACACACACCATGGAAGTTCTCCAATTCTGACACAATTTAAGTAAAAAGTTCGAGGTAATTAGTTTAATTTCTCTCTCAAGTGAGGGTACTAGACATTCAGTAATTCTGAAATATCAAATACATTTAAACATGAAGGATGTGTGCTAGGGTTTGGAAAATTACAAGAAAGGTAGATTTTGGTGTATTTATATAGAACTGAACTTAATCAGTGCTTGACAGCAAGATTTCTCAACAGCAGCACTACTAAAATTTTAAGTGGGTAAATTTTTGTTATGGAGGGTTGTTCCATGCACTATAGGATGTTAAGCACGTAACAGTATCTCTGGCCTCCACGTGCCAGGTTATCAGCAGGCTGTGTCCCCAGTCACAAGTTTTAACAACCAAAAAATGGTTCTAGACCTTATTGAAGGTCCCCTGGGGAATAAAACTGTCCCCATTTGAAAAGCACAGCTATACAGCATCCTTTATAAAGCATAATATATAAAGATTACCAGAGGAGAATACCTCTTTATTTTATTTCTTCAATCAAACAAATCTTAAGTGCCTTAATAATACCCACAAATTGTGTCATGCCAATAATATTGTATACTTATAGAGCACTAAGTAAAAAAAAAAAGAGGAAAAAGAAGTCTACCAACCAGTAGGCCTTGTTCTTTCTGGTTCTTGTAACATAATCCAAGATCTTGGAGGTGGTTGCTCTGTTGAAACTAGTTGAACATAAAACATGAAAATTAAGCAACATTCTTAGATGTTTTCCTACTAAAATGACATAAACAAATGACCACTTACTTCTTTTTGCAGTACCTGCCAAATTATCAAGCAAATAGCTCAGCAGCCTTCTTGTTCCATCTGGTTCCTGATAAAGGTTCAATATATCCTGGGTAAGTGGATTTCCTGAAAAATAAAAACAGGTTAAAGTGGTATAAAACCATTATTGTAGAATGAGTATAAGGATCCAGGAGGGGTGGGAGAGGCTGGAAGCAGAAAAATGTTGATGTTCAGGGAGAGGGGGGATTAATCATTGGGTTGTACAATTTGATGGGAGGGGTGAGGAAAATTTAAAGAATTTGATAACTAGTAGAAAATAAAAAAAGACCATAAAAACAACCAAAAAAAGATTAAAATGAAAAGCAGTGTAATCATCAAATATTTGTAAATCTAAAAAGTACAAATATCAGATCCATTAAAACAATGAATATGCCTATTACCAAGCTACCAAATTATAAACAAAAAAACTAAACCTTCTGAATTGATCTCCACTTACAGTAACTTTATCAATGAGACTAGAACTATCTTTGAGGGTTTCCAATACGAATAAATTTTTAATGGAAGCCGACTTGCACATTTTTCTTCTGTGAGTTTGAACTGCTGACCTGCTGATTAACAGCCTTAATCACTGTACTAAGGGCTACTTTCCAAACTATAGAAATATTTTTTGTGTTTGTTTGTTATGTTGTTGTCAGGTGTCATCAAGTCGAGTACCATCCTAAAATCTGCCCTATCCTGTAGCATTCTTATCATCTCTGAGAGACTAGAGCCCAATGCTGAAGACTCATCTCATTGGGGGTCTTCCTCTCCTTCGCTACCCCTCCATCTTTCCAAGCATGACATCCCTTTCCAAGGAAAAGCCTTGTCTAACTACATGTCTGAAGTATGAAAGATGAAGCTTCATCAACCTTACCTCCAACAAGCACTCTGTCAGCACCCTTTCTAGGACATTATCTGCTTGTTCTTTTGGCAGTCTATGGAATATTCAGTATTCTTCTCCAGCATTACAACTCAAATGAATCAATTCTACTTTCATCCTTATTCACTGTCCAGTTCTCTAATGGATAGCAGGTGACTGAAAAGATCTTGGCTTGAATCAAGTCAGTCTGAACTGACATCACTGCTCTTCAGTTTTTCAGAGGTCCCTTACAGCAGACTTGCCCAATGCAATATGACTCTTTTTTTTTTTTAAAAAAAATTTTTTTTTTCAATACGACTCTTGACTGCTGGTACCAAGAGTGTTGACTGTGTGGTAGGAAAGTAAAAATTATTCAGTTTGTTCTTTTGTTTGTTGTTAGGAGGCCTTAAGTATTATCCACGGCGACTCTATGATCAACAGATCAGAATCCTGTCCTATCTTGTGCCATCCTCTCACTTGACACACTACAGCTCACTATGGCAGTCACCATGTCAATTCACCCAGCTCAGGGTCTTCCTCTCCTTTGCTGTCCTCTACGTTTCTGAACATCATGTCTCTCTCTAAGGAATAGTCCCTCCGAGCAATATGCCTGAAGTATGTGAGGTGAAGCTTTATCATTGCCTCTAAGAGCACTCTAGCTGGACCTTCTCCAAGTCATACTTATTTGTTCTTTTGGCAATTCATGGGATGTTAAGTACACTTCTCCAACATCACAGCTCAAAGACTTCAATTTTTCTTCTATCATCCTTATTCACTGTCCAGCTCTCAGATGAATAGTAAGGGCTGTAGAGATCATGGCCTGAATTAAATGCACCTTAGTCCTCAAAATGACATTATTATTCCTCAATAATTTGGAGAGGTCCCTAACTTTCCCAAGGTAATATGTTTCCTTATTTCCTGACTGCTAGTTCCAAAGGTGGTGACTGTGGACCCAAGTAAAATGAAATCATTGATAATTTCAATCTTTCATCTATCATGATGTTGCCTATTGGCCCCAGTGGCGAAGATTTTTGTCTTCTAGATATTAAGATGCAATCCATATTCAAGGCTGTAGTCTTTGATCTTCTGCAGCAAGTGCTTCAAGTCCTCACTTTCAGCAAGAAATGTTGTCATCTGTGTAACGCAGGTTGTTGATGAGTCTACATCAACATACATGATCCTACATTCTTCTTCACAGAGTCCAGCTTCTCAAATGATTTGCTCAGCACACAGAATGAACAGGTGTGGAGAAAGGATACAACCCTGACAAATCACCGTTCCTGATTTTAAACCATATAGTCTATTTAGGTCCCAACTATTGCTATATATTTGATTCTGCTTGGTCAACACTGTCGATAACAGATAAATATATCAATAAACAGTAAGTGAAACCATATTAAGGCGGCAAGAAGAAAGCATAGAGAACAGAAAGATGACACAGTGAATAAATGCTTTCTAGTTGGAATGGACTCATAGCTGACCCTCCCCTTTGAGTTTCCAAGGCTGTAAATCACACAGCAAACTGTCCATCTTTCTCCCTTGGAGCTGCTAGTATATACAACCACCAGATGCACAGTCTCTGAGTGAGTGTTACACCAAAATTCAAGAACACAATCAAACTAACAAGGAAACACTCTAGTCTTATATTGAGATTTTTTAAAAAAATTCTTTTGAATAATGTAGTAGGATGGGTAAGATTTGGTTTAAGAGTTAACTTACAAAGGGTAGGAGCAAATTCCCAGGGTCTTGAGCATATGTAAATTTTAAAACTGGGCTTTAAGTGTAAAAAGAAACCAAATACATGTAATTTAATTAAATACTAGCCTCTAAGGGAGCTCTGGTGCCTACTGGATAAGGAATTGTGTTGCCAACCTTTAGGAAGGTGATTCGAATCCATCAGCTGATCTGCAGGAGAAAGAAGGGCAATCTTCTCCCTGTGATTTATAGCCTCTGAAAAAATCTGCTAGAGGCTCAGCTATCAGTCGGTTATATTTGACAGAGGGGTAGGAGAGCCAACATGAACTGGGGAAGGCGTCATAATATGTGAAATACAACCTAATTCTGAATGGATAGGGTCTAAGAATTGTTGCATAGGTTTCCATTTAAGTTGTGAGCTCTAAGTCAGTTCTGGGTGGATGGAGCTGTAGAGAGGGCACACCAAAAAAGTGGTGGCAACAAGGATTGAGAAACAGAACTGAAATCTAAATTTATTTTCAGGCTGGAGACATGCTAACTCTTACATGATGTTAGCAATTCAAGTGGAATTTGCCTAATGTGAACCTTGCTTAGGCGAGGTATATATGAGGATTAACAGTGTAGGGTCCAGAATAGCAAGGATCAAAGGTCTTATTCATGCCACAGGAGAGGTACATCAAGTTTAGGACAAAATACGTGAATAAAGAATAGATAAATTCTGTATAATAAAGGGAGGAAACCCCTACCAAAGTGCTGAAAGTTATTAATCACACCAATTGAGGAAAAATAAAAGCATAGGGAATAGAAGAATAATCCAAGTCCAGAAAAAACAAAGACTCAAAGGAAACAAACTATACAAAATAATTTAGAATAGAAAAGGTTAGTAAACATCAATAAACTATCACTATGGCAATCACAAAAATAAAATTGTGCTACACAGTGTTTTGCATGACTAATCTTTCAGCAGTAGATAGGCAGGCCTTTCTTCAACTGCCTCTGAGTGAACTTGAACCATTAATCTTTAAATTATCAGCCAACCATGCCACACATTTACACTATCCAAGGACTCCAGATGATGATGAAAACTATTACATACATCATACATTGCCAGAACAAACAAATCTGTTTTGGAGACGTATAGCTGGGATGCTTTTCAGATACAATGGTTAAGGTACCATCTCATACATTTTGCACATGCTATCAGGAAGGACAATTGCTACAGAAGATTAGACTTCAGCCATCAATAATATGGACTGTACCTCAGTATCAAGAAGATAAAAATCCTCACCACTGGATGACTGATAAGTAACATTATGAAAGCTGGAGAAAAGATTAAAGTTGTCAATGATTTCATTTTACTTGGATCCACAAACACCCTTGGTACTAACAGTCAAGAGATCAAGAGATATACTGAATTGGGCATGTCTGCTGTCAGGGACCTCGCTAACTTACTGAAGAGCAATGATGTCAGTCTGATTCATGCTATGAGTCTTTTTCCCAATCACTTCCCATACATCTGAAAGGTGAACAATAAACAAGGAAGAAGAAGAATTGATTCATTAGAGTTGTGTTAAAGAAGAGAGTACTGACTATCTCATGGACTGCCAAAAGAACAAACAGATTTCTCGGACAAAGTGCAGTCAGAATGCCCCCCTGGTGATAAAAATGACACAGTTTTGTCTCACATACTTTGGGCTTGTTGCTAATAGAGGATATTATTACTAGGAAAGGGACATTATGCTTGGAAATATGAAGTGTAAGTGAAAGAGAGGAAGATCTTCAACAAAATGCACTTACACAGTGACTGCACCAACAGGCTCCAGCGAGTCAAAAAACGGTAAGGACGGCACAGGACAGGATGAGATTCAGATCTGTTGTTCATAGGATCACTGCGAGTCATACTTAACTTGCCTATACCTAACAACAACCAACACTGGCTTCTTCGTTAGAGGAGAACACTACAGGGTCTGGGACAAAGCAGGTTAATGGTATTATGGAATAAATAGGGAGTGAGGTATTATACCAACTGGCCACTTCTGTGAACAGTTGCTGGGGCTTATGTTCAGGAAAAGGCATTTGGTGTTGTTTCTAACTATGGATTGTACATAAAATGAATGATTATAACCTAGGGACTGCAAGTGTTACCAAAATGTGTAGGACAAAGCTAAAAGTAAGGCTGAGAAACAAATTTCTAGCACAAAACACATTCATTTAAAAAGAGGAAAAGTCTTAATTCTCAACTTAAGATTTTGGAGGGCTGAGGGGAAAGTAAAGCAAGAGAACGAAGAAAATACAAAAGGTAAAAGAAATCAATGGTATTAAAGACAGTTAAAGTCAGTAACTCTACGAACAACTTTACATATTTAAGAGTAGAGATAAGCCACATCCAAAAAAAATACTGTCATACCATAAAGTGTAAAAATAGTAATTTGAATAGCTCTACCACTTGTTGTTGTTGATTGCCTTCAAGTCGAGCACAACTCATAGTGACTCTTATGAACAAAAGGCCTGAAGCCCCTCTACAACTATCAAC